CCTGAAGATCATGCCTGGAAAGTATGCGGAGACGATGATTGAAAGCTATGAGGCTACAAATGGCAAAGCAAAGGTTCAGAAGCTGCCATGTACTCAAGAAATGCTTGAGCCTGATGGAACGACATTGCTTGAGCCGGAGCTGCCCTGAGTCTGCAGATCAACTAAATTTAGTTTGCCAAAAATTTACTTAATTTCAACTAGTAAAGTAAAAAACTAAGTAAAAAAGCAAAGTATTTTTTTACCATAGTAAATTTTTAGTAAGACAAGTAATTTAAACTAGTAAGACAAACAGTTCTTTTTAAGTAATTGAAGCATGTGTTGTCATATGTTGTTTTTGCGAGGTTTCTGTTATTTCTGCGCTGTTTTGTTTTTGTTGTTTTGTTGTTTTGTTGTTGTGGTTGTTGGCTGTGTTTAAGTTTTTGCAAGAATGATTTCTCCAAATTTGTTCACTTGACTCATGTCACATGTCGCATGTTCTTGAAAACCGCCTTGTCTGTGTTCATGATCAACCTCCCCCTGTCTATCAAACAGGCTGTTGACAATCAGGGTTTGCTTGTCTCTTTTGCCATGTTTGAACTTCTTTGTACTCCCCCACTCCCTTGCAATCCACTCTGGGATCTCACTGGCAGCAAACATCTGCGTGAACTTCTGTTGCTTGACTCGGTCTCTGGTCTCTGCACTCTTGCTCTTCTCTGGGTCTACTTCTGGGTCCTCCTCCTTCTCATTCTCTTCTTATGCTTCCTCCTCTTTGTCCTTCTCCTCAGGCACAGGCGCAATGCCCACCTTCCAGCTTTGCCAGGTTTGTTCTTGTCCTGAAGGTCGCTTGAAGGGTTTTGGCACTGATTTGGGTGGCTTGGGCTTGGACACAGTTGACTTCTTGATAACCTTGTTCTTTGCCTTTTCCTTGGGCGCAGTCTTGGGAGCAGCTTTTGCCTTTGTTGATGATTTCTTCAGGACTGAACCAGGAGTGACAGAAGGCTTCTCACTATCTTTCTCTGACTTTGCTGGTGTTTGTGCCACCATAGATTCATTTGGCATTCCATCAGCCATGAGCGCAGTGGATCACTCACAATACATTAGAAACTCTCAAAACAAAAAGCCGCAGAAAGTTGTAGGAAGATTGAAGATGGCACTCAATGTACTGTTCACAAGAACTGCGCACCAGTTAATGACAGAAGTTACTGAAGAACAAGCCACAAGAAATTACACATCTCCAAAACAAGAACATCTGACAAGTAAATGATTGTCATAGGAATTCTTACAATTCTATTATTGGAGAACTGCTCTCAAGTAAATGTTGAACAGTTATGTAAAAATTTGCTCAAGAGTACTGTTACATGCCACTGCATTCGTAGGTAAAATGTGCAAAAAGAACTTCAACAACTATATACAGTTTGTACGCGGTTTGTATGTAGTTTATATGCAGTTTTGAAAACTACATGTAGTTTTATCAAAACTACATGTAGTTTTATCAAAACTACATGTAGTTTTCAAAACTGCATGTAAACTGCATATAAACTACATACAAACCGCGTACAAACTGCATAAAAAATACATAGAAAAATGAGCAGAAAATCAACAAACGCACATCAAAAGTATACACACATATTCAACTTTGTTATCTCCATGTTATATTCTGGACATGCTGATGCTGCACTTGTGAGTTCATTAGACTCTGGATACATTTACTTGTGAAGCTGTTTTTACTTGTGAACCACCTTCTGTATTTCCTTGCAGTCAAATTGCACAATGGCTTTGGGCGCTGGACAGTGTACGACTGTTTTTTGGCATTCGTATATGTTTTCGGAAAGCTATGCTCACTTTACTTGAGACATCATTTACTGTTTTGTGGATGCCACTTGCTCAAGGCACTGTTGTGAGGTTTGTGGATTGCACTTTTCATAAGCCCACTATTGTCACTGTTGTGTACACTCTTGTGTCAACATTGCCATGTACTTGTGAGCCATTTGCTTTGTGAAAAGAACTACTTGTGGCCAGGTCTTGTGCCAATATTGCAATTTACTTTTGGACAGTTCTTCTGTCCAGATTGTAGTTTACCTGTGAGCGTTGATGGTCATCTACTTGTGAAACAGCTCAACTGCCAAGACTGCCACTTAGACTTACTCGTGACCAGGTGTTTTCGCAAGATTGTCATTTACTTGTGAACAGCTCAAATGCAAAGACTGCAATTTACTTGTGAACAGTTCTTGTCAAGATGACCATTTACATGTATCATTTTCTCGCCTCAAGATAGCAACCTCGATAACCCCACAAGACCTCTCTCAAGTAAAAAGAGCTGTACCTGATCTCCAGTAAATTTTTCGCAACGCTTCTCAAGTAACTTGGTGAAAGTACACCAATAACAATATTCGAGTTTTCTCAACTAAACACAGCAACACCAAGTGCTCCCACACCTTTCCTCAAGTAGATCAAACAACACTTCTCAAGTATATCACCCCTGGCTTCTCTCAAGGCAGACGAGTAAACTGGTTGTGACAAGCTCCTCTCTCAAGTAAACTGACTTCTCAATTTTTTTGAAATATATACTGCAACACTTCTCAAGTAATTTGAGGCGACGGTGACGGAAACCATTCTTGTCTGATACCTGTGAAAACCAACTTCATGTGTAACTTCCAAGCCAATGTTTTGTGTGTTTCTGTGGTGTTTTTGCGTTGAGTTGCGGTTGTTTCTATGTTGTTTCTATGCTGCTTCTATGCTGCTTCTATGTTGTTTATATGTTGTTTCTATGCTGTTTCTATGTTGTTTATATGTTTTTTCTATGCTGTTTCTATGTTGTTCATATGTTGTTTCTATGCTGTTTCTATGTTATTTATATGTTGTTTTGACTTTGTTGAAATTTACAATGAAAAATTAGTTTTTCAAAAATTTAGTAGGAAACCAACTAATTTTTTCAATTACATTGATTTCATCCATAAACTAAATTTAGTTGATCTGCAGACTCAGGGTGGCGAGCTTATTTCGATCTGTGGTTGGTTGTTGCATTTACCTTTCACAGGAGCGCTCTGACGTGGTCTTTGCGATAAAGGAGCTGGCAGGATCCATGTCGAATCCTACCACAGGAAGTCTTCGAAGGCTGGGGGAAGATTGATCGGGTATCTGAAAGATACATTGGGCCAACACACCATTCTCGAGATGCCTGAACCAGGAAGGGGACTCATTGTCAAGACCTTAGAGACCAGATGGTTGCTTGAGACCTTTAGCCACAGCGACTGGTCGGGGTCGAAGAGCACAAGAAGATCAACTTCTTCTGCGATCCATATGGTGAATGGTGTAGTGGTGATGACGAGTTCAAGGGGTCAAAAGTCGGTCAGTCTTTCTTCGGCAGAGGCTGAGTTGAATGCATTAGTTTCCGCAGCAGCAGATGGTATTTATGTCAGAAGATGCCTCGAGTTTTTGGTCGATGAAATGGTGGAGCATGTGAGCCATAAAAGAGGACCGGGCAAGCTGAGGCACATTGATGGCAAACTGCTGTGGATACAAGACTTGGTAGCTCAGAAGACCTTGAATGTCAAGCCTATTGGAACAGTGTACTACATCGCAGACCTAGGCACAAAGCCACTCACCAAGGCAAGGATCCATTTGATTCTCTACTGGTGCAATACCTACAATGGCCAAGGAAGACGCATTGGCCAAGATGAACATGACGGGCTGACGGAGGGCAATGCCAGTAGAAGCAGTGTCAAGAGGCTGTCAAAGTTCCTTCACAGGATTATGCTTCTGGAAGGCCTTAAGCGTGTAGCTGGAGAGCGAATTTACGTGGAGACGGACAACAATACACCAGAGAACAGCCGCTGGACAATAGTCTCGATGATGCTACTCTAGGTGATCATTGCAGGCCTGTGCATTGTCATCTACAAGATGTGGGAGAGATTGAGGGTGATTGAGGAAGAGCTGGTAGAGATCAAAGATAATGCCAAGACAGATGGCATGATGATTGGAGCCTATGGTCATGAAGCGCAAGAGGGCATTCGAGATGTGAGAAGCTATGTGCAGCGAGTTCACAAGCTTAAGGGCTTGATCAAAGCATCCGGATACATCGACACAGAAGATGTTGAACCATGGGAATGGCTTTATTGGGACTACGCCCAGAGGTCCCACAAAGACTTCGATCTGAGAAGGCTTGATGGTCAATTGCAAGCCTACAAAGAAGAAGAGTCAAAGAGGAGCAAGTCCCAAGCCAGAATTCATCTTCCAAGTGGGCAACCTATGGAAGAGGAAGAAGAAGAAGAAGAAGAAGAGTTGAGACCGGGAGACACAGCCACAGTCCGGTTGGACTCAGGCGAAGTGGTCAACATCCCGATGGAGTACTTGCAGCCAAGAGAGCCAGAAAGTGAAGTTGAAGATGAAGAAATGGAGATAGAACCAGATCTTCATGATCCACAAGGTGACCGAGATGTAAGGCAGAATCCAAGCCAAAGTGGAAGAGCAGCGAGCTCAAGTGATCAAGATGATCCGACAAGAAGTCAAGCCACATGGCCGAATCCGAGATGGACAGATTTGGAGCCTGAAGAGCTTAGATCAGCCAAAACAGCGACCTAGTTTGAGAGCGCGACAGCACCTGCTACACCTTGAAAAGGAGTGGTGGGATGCAAACACTCGCAATGATGTAGAGCTGAGGCTTCACGGGTATAAAGATATGGACTCCCACTATCCATATCTAGACTGTCCAGGTTTCCCTGACTAGAATGGTCACGGAAGGAACATGACAGGCTTTGCTCCTACCGTGAAGGAGGAGTGCCAAAATAGAGTCATGTCCACACACCACAAGATGTGTATCCCGCACTGTCTAGGCCTTTGAAGCTCAGACTAAAAGTCCGCAAAGATAAGGGCTGGGGGCCCCTACACAATTCATGAAACATATCAATTATTAATTCTTTCTATTTAACGTGGCAAATCATTTTGTCTCGCCAGTCACTTGCCCAGTATGGGACGAAGGTGAAAAACCATTATTGATTTTCAATGCAGCATAGAGTGTAGAGGAGCTTTTCGACTACAATCGAGAGATGTACCAGTTCGATCAGGCTGGTGTGTCTGAGATGGGCAATCTCATAATATGTCGTTTCGGCCTGACGTGTTGTTTTCAGAGGTCTTCAAGTAGCTGCGCAAGATTGCCTAGGTATGCCTGGATGCAGGTTTGGTAAAGTGTGCCCCAAACTAGCCCAAATGCTACAGTTCATTGAGCCCCCACACGATGCTGCTTGTATGAACTCAGTGCATGTCTCAGATGACTCTTGCAACATCCCACATCGAAACAGACCTTTCACAGCTATGCTGCTCATGGCTATGAGCTGGAGTGGAAGATTGGGATCCCTTCGATCTGGGCTTTTGCTCAAACTCTGGGCGATCTTGAGTGTGTGGGCCTTCGCTCCTCTCACGTTTTGCCCGACCTGTGGCATTTACACTTCCAATGCCCGAACTCAGCACCTCCGCCGAGCGGTGGACGGGGAAGATGTTTGGGAGCCTAAGGCAGGAAGCAAATGGAAGCAAGGATGTGGGGGTGAGCAAGCCGATTCCTGTTTATCGAATAGTTTTTTCGAACTGCCCTTGTCATTGACATTTTGCGCCAAATTTGATAAACCAATTGACACATTTTTCCCGGATACATCGGCAGGTGCCTCTGTTTGATGAGCCTGAGTGGAGCGCGGCGCCAGCTGTGTGGCCGAGCCACCTGCGTGATGCCTTCGTGTCGCTGTCGCCCAACGAAGCGGCCACCGATTTCGTGCTGGAGGCGCCGATCGCACCGTTGCCACAGGCGCCCGGTGTGTTGCAGGAATTCCGTAGAAGGATTCGTGAAAGAGGGCAGAAGGTAGGAAGAAGGGGGGAAGCGTGGGTAATTAACGTTGATGGCTGGAGTGGTTAATTATGTTGAGTTGATTCGTCAATTCATGGAATCATGCAAGGAAGCTACACGTCACAGCATGCAGCCCTGCCCTGCCCACAGGCTTTTTTGTACCAAGCGCTATGCCAGCTGCCCTTGAACGAATTTGATCTACAGGCTTTGCTATATCCTGCGAGCTCACATCTGATCACCAAGGAGCAACTGGAGAAACTCTTCAGCCATGCAGGAATGGACAGGTTGGCCATGGAGACAATCTTGGACGTGGGTGCAGGCGATGGATGCATCACCAAGCATCTCCGAGATCTTGGAGCCAGCGTGGTGACAACTGAGACTTCGCTTGGCCGGGCTTGTCGACTACGCATGAGTGGCTATGAGGTTTGGTGCGAGGAGTACGAGCGGCTTGTAGGGTTCGTACGAGTTCTTTGGTCTTCAGGTGTGAGTTGCTTTTAACACGCATAAATATGATTCATAGTACTTCTTTCGAAGTAGATGTATTTCTGTGCTTTCCAAGTTGGTTGATGTTTCAGTTTGTGAAGGACTTAGCCGAGACCGCCCATCACCGTGCGGCTGCTGGATCATCCTTCTCGCTGGTCTCCATGCTGAATGTCCTTGATCGCTGTGCATCGCCAGAGCGCCTTTTGCGGGCAGCGCACCGACTGACGCCCAAAGGGCACCTGCTTTTGGTGACTTGACTTGGCTCGTTTATCACCTGAAGCAGTCAAGCAGCTAACGACTTGGAATCAGTATATAAAGCTCGTTGCCGGCCAAGGCCACTCCATTGCCCTTCGTGGCATCCTACTATGGTCCGGAAACACAGTGGAGCGGCGAACCGATGCAGCCCGTGAAGCTGAGTTTGGAGGGGACTTGGGAGAGCGATGCCCAGGCAAGGGTTTGGATTCGACTTGTGGCAGCTGATGGGTTGAAGGGTCTGTACCGCTATCAGGTTGAAACGCAACCCACGCACTTAGATCCATGCTCGCAAGAGCTAAGTCAGTTTTGAACTGCAGTGCATTACATGCATTAGCCCTTTCGATGAACACTTAGCGCTTGACTTGCAGAACGGTAAGGTGATTGGGTCGCGACAACAGAAGAGTTTAACAAAGACGCATTAGCCCTTTACAAGGAGATTGGGGTTACAGCTTGTGAGCATCACAACCGTAAGTGCAAAAATTGGCGCAGGTACATTCAGAGAGCGTCCTCTCTGAATGTCTTTGTTAGGCAGTGTCTGCTGAAAGGATCACTGCCCCCCTGCGGATCTTTACATAGTTGGAACCAAAGGTTCCTAAGAGGTGGAAACAATCAATGTGGTCATGCTCCCTTGGAACGGGAGGTGGCACACACACACACACTCAGCCGTAGCGGCGCTCCCTGATCAGATTTTGCGGCGCACTAGTCACTAGTCGATCACACTCCTTTGGTGGGCACCCCTTGTGGGCGTAAAGTTGAGCCAGGTGAAAAAGCGCTCGTTCGATGGCTGCAGGTGGAAAGGTGTATTTCCTGGTGAGGTGTGCATGTGGCGCAGACGCTGCGAGTATGTATGTGATCGTGCGTTGGTCCAGGTTGACTTCGAAGCCCAAAAGTGGTGCATGTCGTCAACCGGTTCTAGTTCAATGGGATTTCCGAAGAAGTTCGGGTGAATGAGGGTTTGAATGAATGCCGGTGTGCTGAAGGAAGGTTTTATTTTGTTGAAGGTGATGAACCGGTTGTCCACATATCGGTAGTAGGCAAAGTGGGTCTGGCTGTGATCTGTCAGGCTGTGATGTAGTTGCGCCCGTGAGTGTTCGATGAGAGTAATAGCCACGTTGCGCAGTGTGGGTGCAAGCTGGGAACCTATATATGCCGCCGCCTCGCGTTTGTTGGTAGAAGGTCCTAGTTTGGAAAACGCATGTGTTGAGGGCGGTGCGGACAATGTGTGGAATGTCCTGTGTGTCAATGGTGCGTTGTGTAGGATGCTTGCGATGATGCTGGCCAATGCGGGAAAGCTGGAGAGGGTTGCCCGTGGCTTGAATGTCGATGGTGAGTGCGGGTGTGACTTAAGGTGAGATTCCACTTGGTGGTGAGGCTCTGGCCCGCCTCGATGAGTCGATCCTGCGGCGCAGAATTGAAGAAGCCGACCATATCATCGTTGGTTGAGGAATGAAGCGGGTGACGTTGGTACCGATGGCCTTGGCGTAGGAGGTGTAGGATGAAAACTTGCCAAGGCCTGGTAGATCTCATCGAGAAGGTTGCGAAGATAGATCGCAATCTGCAATAGGCAAGGCGGCGATTGGTCAGTCCAATAAGACATCGTTTCCCTGTCTGACATGGCAATTGACCTGTGGCAGCGATGAGGGTTGATCGAGTATGCGTCGCCCAATTGTGAGCTATGCGAGTCGCGCGAATTAATCGCGATCGCTGTCAAGACATTATGCTGAAACAATCGCAATCGCCCGTCAAATCTGTGAAAATCTTTCTTCTGAGGTGTGGAAAGGAAAAAAGTCCATTCAAGCGGGCCCCTTCGCAGGGAAAGATCCAAGCGTGACGTGTGAGGGGTCCTTAGACAAACCAACGGCGCAAAAAAAAGCGTGGAACGGCGAACGGATGGAGGAGTTTGCTCATATGACTCGGGTGGGATGGGCATGCGGAACCTTGCCAGGCAACGCCACGAATTATTGCATTCTCTCGATGGATCACCCAGCGCTTGGCATTGTGATGTTTTACAACGTCGTGAATTTCTGCCCCGCGCCGTAAGACAAACGGTTTTTGTCCAGGGCATTGGTCTTGGCGAGGACGCAAGCTGTATGCCATCTGTCACGCTTGGGATCGCCGCTCGTTCTGTACCCTGGCGCAAAAAAGCCAAAGGTGTTGGTGTCGTGCAGGGTGCTAGGCCCAAGCGTCCTGATTGAAGTAGACAAATTTAAATCAGGTCGCTTTCCTCCGTGGCGTGGCCGCAGAAAATGTGTTTCATTCCATGTGGGGTGTTGGTCTCTTGTCGGCGAGAGGGGATGACCCGGGGGCCACCTCGATGTGTGAGACGTGGAATGTAGACTGTGAAAATGTGGCCATGGGTCCACATCTTTGAGATTGCGTGATTTCAATGTTGGCGGTATAGTGTGAGTAAGCGTGCGATGTAGCGTATCTTTGGCGTGTTTGATGTGTGAAGTTGATTGGCGTTTTTGATGTGTGAAGTTGATCGCGCTGGTGTGAGAAAGCGGTAGATCTGATCTGCTGAAGTGGCTGCGGCCACAGTGGCGGGTTCGGTGTTTGTGTAAGGTTGGGATGGGCGTTGCGCGTTCTGGTGGATCAACGTCCCACTGAAACTTGGACGAAGAGCCGAAGAATCTGGAGCTGGAGTGGAAAGGGTCCTGTGTGGGTGGAGCGCGAGTGCGAGAGCGTGCCGGGTGGGCTGGTAGAGCGGAGGCTGGGGTGGCTGATGGTGGCTGATGGTGGTACCTGGGGTGGTACAGGCGGAGCCGGTGTGGTGGTAGATGGAAGTGGGTGCTGGGGAAGGTTGCGCTGGAGAAGGCTGTGGTACTGATGGAGGTTGTTGAAGAGGTTGCGTGGGTGTTGCGAGTGGCAAGGAGGTCGTGAAGGTGTTAGCGTGCGGAGGCGCTGAGGATAGTGGTACAAGGTGACGGTGAGAGATGTCGATGCTTTGTGGGTGAACAAGGATCGCAGCGGTGAGATCAGGTGTGGCCCTTGAGTGTTGAGAGCGTGGAAAGCTGGAACGTGAGATTTCAAATTGAAAATTAAGTTATTACTTCGTGAGGATGGCAATCTGTACAACGAATACTTAGCGTAACATCTGCAATCTCGAGCAAGGGGTTGAGCAGTGGAGCATCCTTAAGGGCCGGTGCAAAAGCGCCCAATGCTGGGGTCACACAACAGACCTCAGTGGGACCCTGTTGCGGCGCACACTCGCAAGAGCTAAACCAGTTTTGAACTCCGTGCTAGGTTCCCAAGAGGTGGAAATATCAATGTGGTCATGCTCCCTTGGAATGGGAGGTGACGCGCGCGCACGCACACACACACACACACTCGGGATAGCGCGCGGTCGACGTGAACGTTGCTTGCCCTGAAGAGGCCTCGGGGAAAAACCTATACTGTATAAGCGTATAAATATGCGGTACGGTAAGTTTCAATTCTGCAAGATCTGAAAGCAAATGTGCGCGCCTGCCAAACGCATTAGCGCTTCATAGCAAAGCGGAAAACTTACAAAGCAGGGACCAAAAGCTGAAGATCCTCCAGCTGTCACTCACAGACCCAGGAGCAATCGGCGCAGGTATGCTTCCACGAGAGGTAGACGGGTCTTCGTTGGCCCGTGCCATCTATGTGTCCACGAGCTCCCTGCTAAAGTCCAAAGCGGCGCACACGCACACACACACTTAGTTAAAGTTTCATCCAGTATCATAATCCACGAGGAAAGGAACGAGGGAACAGTAAGGCGGTAAAGTCAGCGAAACCGAATTGTTGGAACGTTTGTGGAAAAACATCGCTCTGCCGCGGCAAGCTGCGGTGACAAGCGCGTCAGCGGAAAAAGGAGGTTTAGGGGTCTATCACGCAAGGACCATGGAATCAAACCACAGCGATGAGATTGGAATGTTTTCGTTGGCATGTACGCCAGGTCTGGTATCACCACCATTTGCAATTGTCTTCATTGGCAGGGGACTTGCAAAGGTGCTCCCGCCCCCTGCTGATTGTGTTAAAGGTGAAAGAAACTCCTAGAGACGGAGTGCGACGCACGCAAAATGCCGCAGTGCGGCACTCGCTCCGCAAAACCTGAACAGCCACCTAACAAGCCGTAGAAAAAGAGGAGAAGGAAAAGGAAAAAGCAAAAAGACAAGGGCAGGAAGGAAAGATAGGTGTAGGGGCATGCGTGTCGGCCGAACGAACAGCCAATTACGGAGTCAAAACTTGAATAGCCACCTAACAAGCCTTAGAAAGGAAAGAGAGACAGCACGAGAAAAACGAAGAGGGCAAGAGAGAAGGGTGTAGCAAAAAAGTGCAAAACCGAGGGGCAGGGAAACGAGCCTCAAGAACAACCTAACAAGCCTGAAGAAACACCTAGCAAACGAAAAACCGCAAGAAGGAAAGAGGGGAGGGTTTTTTTGTGGTTCATCCTCCGTAAGATCGGCAGCTTTGCTATCAGTTGATTCATGGGCGGAACAAAACAATCCAAGACCAGAATCCAAGAATGCAGTACGCTGAATCGATATGGGATTCACGATGGCTTCGGCGCCCCTGTGACGGGGCTCACACTACGCGCCCAAGTGGGAAAGCGCAGCGAGACGCATTTAGTCAAAGTTTCATCCAGTATCATAATCCACGAGGAAAGGAATGAGGGAACGGTAAGGCGGCAAAGTCAGCGAGGCCGAATTGTTGGAACGTTTGTGGAAAAACATCGCTCTGCGGCGGCAAGCTGCGGTGACAAGCGCGTCAGCGGAAAAAGGAGGTTTAGGGGTCTATCGTGCAAGGACTATGGAATCAACCCCAGCGATGGAGATTGAAGTGTTTTCATCCGCGTGCGCGCCAGGTCTGGTTTCACCACCATTTGCAAGTGTCTTCGTTGGCAGGAGACTTGCAAAGGTGCTCCTGCCCCCTGCTGATTGTGTTAAAGGTGAAAGAAACTCCTAGAGACGGAGTGCGACACGCACACACACACACACACACGCGCCGAGAGGAACACTCTGCGTGAGTGGTGTGAGGGAAAGGACATGTTCTGGTTATCGCAGACCTCCCAAGAAGGTGGCGCTTATGAGCAGTGCGAAGTGAATCAGTGAATTCACGGCAAATCGGGTCTTAACGGCCTTTCTAGTCGATGAAGAAATCTCAGAGGCCGAACCTCAAGATCCCAAGCAAAGACTTGCAGAATTCCATAGAATTGCAACTGACCTTGTCGACCTGCTCGAACGTCAAAAGGTTCTTGGCGTAGCTTCTTGCCATCCAACAGGAAACAACATGAAACAAAAGCAGGTACGTCGGTGAACGTCCCCATTAATATGAATGTTTTATGATGTTTATGCACACATGTTTTGTCAACTCTCTGCCCATTCCTGAATCTCTATGTTTTGCGCAGTGAGGCACTACTCCAGGAGGTCCTACCCCACTGCGGCTTTGAGACGCTGAGCGTCTCGCGGTTGCCATATCTCACGGGCGGGGATGCCATTGACGGGGGGTGCTTGGAACTGGATGACTTGATCGTTTTGGCCGCGACTGTGGAGTCCACCTGACTGCTAGCTTCTTGCTCCTAGTAGCTTCTTGCTACTAATTTCAGTGGTTTGGCGGCAATGTGACCGATCTGACAATGGCCAATGTGAGACGGGCCGTTGCAGAGCAAGCGAGGCAAGTCACACACACAGACGCATCTGCAGCTACAGCTGATCCAACCAACGATTGCCAAGAAGTCAAAACTGCAAGAATGCCGCTGTCCTGTCTTTAATTGAAACTGTCAGGTTTGATACTCAGATTCCAGGTGCTCAAACTCAACACCTCGTGAATGAGAGAGGGGGATGTGTTTCCAACGGACTTCAATTTTGGGATGAAGAAGTTAGAGTTCTGACTACAGTCACCGTTGCCGTGGTCAAAATTCAGCTGGTTGACCTGAGATGCAGCCTCAAGGTCCAAACCGTTTCCAAGTGCGAATACATCAGCGACACTGAGCGCTTCCATTACTAAGTCCTCTTGGATGTCTCCTCAGCGGTTGAAAGTCAATGTCCCTGCTTGGACAAATTGGCGGCGATATCATGAGGAATGCAAGAGAACGAACATATTGCCAATGCCCAGGAATCTTTGACAGGGCCAATGGGTTCTCCCAGCAGCAACTTTAGTATCTTGGACACAATATGACACAATATGAGCTTGAGACTGCTACCAAAGCGTATGAAGTCTGCTTCAGAAGGAAGTTTGCTTTGCGCAACATGGCAGCTGATTTGGGTCGAGTGGAAAAGAGGACGTCCTGTTCAAAAAGTAGAAACCGGGCACAGACAATTCAAGAATGTGCTCAATATGAGACGATGCAGGGGCAACGGCTGGACAGAGAACTGCAAGGATCTCAGATAGATGCCATGGATGTCCATTTTGACATTGAGATTCAATGCGAGACAAATCTTCACAGTTGGAAGTTCCAGGATTTGAACTGCCCAATCGCTCGATTTTGGCAAGGCTTCGATTGGAGATGCAGATCAAGCGCTTCCAGCTCTTTAGAGAGGCCAAAGTGGGTGGGTTGCAATATACATGGCACATCATCCTATAAGGGTGATTATGAATGGACCTAGTAATAGTATCGCCCTGAAAAAGATAGTTTCACACCCTGATAAGGAATACTTATGTTCCAAAGATGCCAGCAGCATGCAGGATATCCGAGATTTAGTGGAACTCACAGTGGCAAAGATGGAGATGTGCCGTGCTTAATCAATGTTGGAGCGCTTGGTGTCTAGCCGGGTTTAGAGTGCTGATTGTCCCAACAAAGAGTTCGAACAGCTCACATTCTTTTCAACAACTTTTGGAAGTGTTTCTATCAACCATCGAGGTACCACGTGGTCGGAGCATTGGTGCTGGAGTGTACTGTCATTTACTACACCGAAGGAAGGATTCGAGTCAGGGACCCTGGATGATTGAAAGCTAACTGGTGTCGGTTTTCGTCTTCCTATTCTTTGTTCTAATCACTACTGACATCAACATACATAAACATTCCCTCCAGCGGCTGTCTCTGTGCAGACATTTCGAGCAATCAATCAAGATATGACTAATCGGTCGAAGACCGTTGTTTGTCACGAAACGGAAACGACCGGTAGTTTAGGGCCCAAATTCCCTCTTTGGACTTGAGGGGGAACCAGCGTAGGACGCCTCGAGCCATGGAGGGCGATGGGGGGCTGTCCAAATGCTGTGTGGAAGCCGGGTTGACGGACTTTGACAGGACCACGCTTGTCCGTCTGGGCTGGAGTGTCACCCGGCTCGCAACACTGCACGGACAGCCTCCCGGGCTAGTGAAGCGCCTGCTGGTTTCGGCGCGGGAGCTGGAAGGCAGGTTCGCTGCGAACCTCGAGAACCTCTTCGACCTCGTCGAGCGTGCGGACGTAGCGGCAAAGCAGGTTCACCTGTTGGAAGCCCGGCAAAACCCACGGCATTGGGATGTCGTGGGGCCAGCTCCGTCGGCGGGTGGTCGAAAGAAGAGGCGGCTTACAGCAGCCGAGTCGGGAGAAGAGATCACCGCCATGACGGTGGGCTGGGCGAAGAGGATTCGCTGGCAGACACGTCTGGAGCGGGAGCTCCGAGACGCAGATGGTGAGCAAGACAAGGAGGCTGCGGTCAGGGACGCAGAGTCACGACGTTGGTGCGAGGCATTGCATGCCTTGCTGCAAGAGTCGGGATGCTCCCACTTAGACGTTCGGAAGACGGAGGGTGCCTTGGTGGGGGTTTCTTCGAGACGGGTGAGAAAGCATGTGAAGGTATGGAGAAGGCTTGCTTGGTGGCTTGAGCAAGCTCACCGTGTGCGGTGGCCTCAGTCTCCTGCACAGGTAGTGGACTACCTGTGAGCAGTTGCAGAAGGGGCGACCGCCACAGTGCAACTGGACAGGGTGATGAGGACCCTTTGCTTCATGGAAGAACTGGCTGGCGCGACAGAAGAGCAGCGGCTGAGCCGGTCCGTGGAGGCCCAGGACTGCGTGAGCGAGGCAAAGCAGCGGGTGGAAGCAGGAGGGTCTGCTGGTTGGGAGCCAGCTCGGTGCCTTCGGAATAGGTGGCGTGCTACGCCCGAGTTTCGGCATGGCATCGCCTGGTGCGCTTCTGGGCTGCCCTGGGCTGGGAAGCGCAGCATCTTCAGGTGCCTGCCGGAAAGATGGCGATGACGGAGTCGGGCTTGTGCGGTGAAGTGAGGCAGTTTGCGCCTGTCTCAAATGGTGCGCCCGAGCTGCGAAGGACATTCTATATATGTTTCATTGGAGGCCTGGTTCAAATGTCAAAGCTGGTTGAGCACTGGGTGGAAGCATTGGTGTGAGCTGGGGCAGAAGTCGGGTACTACCGATCGAGACTATATGATGCCTTGGCCTTCGGAGGATGGGCAGTGTTTTGGCAAGAAGCCACTCAGCATGATTGCGGCCTCGGCGATTCATCAGGGGCTGCTTCGCATGGCATGGACTTGGCAGGATGGCAAGAAGGCAGCCTTGGTCCCAAAGGGAATCGGGGCAGTTTGGTCGGAGGACTGCGAGGCAAACACCATGAGGCTGTTGCTGGCCGCAATGAAGTGGCCAGCGGACGTGGTTTCGACCATGGCCGATGAGAAGTGCAGCGTGGCAGAATTGGCAGACCCCGAGAGGGGGGCCAGGATGCGACGGATCCAGCAACTGCTCGCGATCTACGTCAAGGAGAACCCGGGCAGCGAGGATTCGTTTTGGGAGCATGCAGCAATCCGTCGGGCAATAGGGCGGATGCGAGATCGGGGTTTCGATGCAGAAGCGTGCAAGAAGTATGAATACAGGCTGACCACTTTTATGCCTGCTGGCACCGGCGGACCGCAGCCCTGTCAGGTCGCTTGGACAGACGAGGGGCAGGCGGTGTTAGTGGAGCCGGGCGCCGAGACGTCGGGGGTGACCGGGCCGGAGCAATCGGCCGGCGAGCAGCAGGAGCAGGTGGGCGAGAAAGCCGGTGAACGCTTGCCTGCAGTGGAGGGCCTGGTCTTGGGCACGCCGATCGTTTCGTTCAGGGGTAGGTCTAAGACCAGGACCTTGCATCAATTCGGGCGGTGCCATCAAAGGCCGGGCATAGAGTACAGAAGATTTGAAGTGTTTCGAGGAGACGTCCTCAGCAAGGCGGCTTTTCATCGAGTGTGTAGCATCTGTTTCGCGAGCCGAGATGACACGGCAGGGGGCGGCCGCGAGGCAGAAAGCTCGGGAGAGATAACCTCTCCCGAGATGTCCGAGTTTGAAGTATAGGTCCGGGGCGGATGGTCGCTCCGGACGTGGAGAGTCCTGCACAGCAGAGTGCAGCGCGATATGAAAATGTCTAGCATGAGGGTGGCGCGCTGTACGGGTTAGGGCAAGGCAAGGGGGGGAGTGCCTCCTTGTTCAGACGATATCTCTGTGCCGTTGTCGGTACAGGAGAGAAAAGAAGGGAGAGGGGGAGACACAACTTGTCAGGTGGAAGCGAGACCGTGACGATAGGCGGCGGTAGGCCA